ATTTACAAATGGGCCACAGATTAGTTTCATAACAAGATGACCACTGATCAATCCACGGTGGTGATGATGGTCTTTCTTTTGTTCTCTGTGTGTACAAGGCATTTTTCTTAGTACTGTAGATCAGGTCATTTTAACGACAAGGTATAGGCGTGTGTCGTTTGTGTTCATATGTGGCCCAGTGATGACCTTATCTTCACCCACTGACTGCAGGCATTTACCCCATCAACGTACAGGACCCCAACAAGGGATTTAAGTGGTAGAAGATGGATAGATGAACATCTTGACTTTAAAAAGTGCAAATCTTCAAGACATTGTCATCTGACCTGGGGGCCTTCTGAAAACCAATTTTCCAGCTGATATTAAATAAACAGCACTAATTCTTTTATAAATGACTATGTGCTCATAAATCCATGACTTATTTCTTGTATTTCTATTCCTATGTCTTCCAATGGAAGTCGAATGTGAAATGTTTTATATCAGCTCTTTAACATTTGGGGTTTATTTGTTTTTTATGCCAAATATCGCGAGGAATCAACCATTCTCTCCCACCAAAACGTGACTTGTGTGTGGGTGCGTGACGCTGCGTGGGGGTGTTCGCCTGATGTCATTTGGCAGAAAAGGAGGCTGAGCTAACGGTGGGCATAAGGCTGAAAAGCACAACAATAACGCCGTTGCTTCACAATTTTTACTGAGACTCAACCTATCCTTTTTGGAATTAAAAACCCGCAGTCTGACTCCCTGCTGCACATCGGACAGAAGAAGGAGGTGTTGAGGGAGGAGGAGGAGGAGGAGAAGCTAACGGACTGGAAGTACCAGATGCTATTCCAGCGGCGGAGGACGGATAAACTAGGGACGGTGATGGGTTCTCGTTTTCCTCACGGGTAATTGTGGAAACATTTGTTGGAAAATAGAGAAGCCCTGAATCTTAAAAGCGAGCGGGCGTTGTATTCTTCTTCTTCTGTGCCTCCGCTCCGGTGACATTTTCTCTGAAATGGTAACGCAGCCTCGGTGTTGGCCGTCGAGCAGCTTCTGGGCCGCAGCTCGGCTGACCGAGCCCGAATCTGGGAAGTAGCTAGTTAGCTAGCTGTCCGCTAGCCGCAGCTGTGCCTGATGCTGCTGTCGCTGGTGCGGCTGTTGCTGCTGCTACACGGAACCGACAGACAGCACGGTGTCGAGGCTTGGCGCTGAGAGAGCCTTTGTTTCACATTCCTGGACTACAATGGGCGTCTGAGATGTGATGCTTTTGTGTTTCGTGTTTGAGCCTTTCGTAGCTGGAGGCTCTCGCCTGCTCGACGCTAAGGGGCTAACGTCGCTGCAAAATGCACAGCGGAACCACAACAGCAGGCTCCTGCGTAAGGGGGCGAGGTTGGACAGATAACAGCCCAGCTTGTGGCTCCCAACTCCCGGGATCACGCTTGGACAACGGCCGACCTCCACCGCTCTCATCGATCACCGCGTTATCACCCGGCGACATGGATAAACTAACGATCATTTCAGGCTGCCTGTTTCTGGCAGCAGATATTTTTGCAATAGCCAGTATTGCAAACCCAGACTGGATCAACACTGGTGAATCAGCAGGTAAACGAAGCAGCCTGTACTTGACCTCTTTAGCTACTGTTGACTTCTGTCTTGTTTCTTGCATCTGTCTCAGAATCACTTTTCCTCTGCCTCCCAGAACAAAGCCATATCCTGATGTTTGTGTATGATTTCATCGGTAAGAATGTCCTTTGTCCTCCAGGGACAATGCATGTGTTGTTTTCCGATGATATCCAAACACCTCACTGTTGGTCTCTTCTGTGATGGGTGAGTGTTTTGACAAAGTGTTCTCACAGTAGCAACAGTGACAAATGCACATCAAAGGAATGTCTTTATGGACAGTGAAGACGCCTGCACATCATTTAGAGGGGTGTTGCAATAAAAGGGAAAAAATGAAATCGTTAGATTAGAAGGTTGACTCTTAATAACATGTTTGAATCTTTAAGTCAAAGGATCAAACAACAAATCAACAGATTGAGAAAAAAAACATTTATTTGTTGACATCTTTAATCAAATGCCAGTCACCCAATATTAGTGTACAACTTAACTGATAACTAATAACATATAATAAATTAAAAAGCTACATGATCAGGGTCAGGGTGAACTCATGAACTAGACAATGTATATGGTTTTAATAAACCAGCTTTTTAGATGGGAGCTTTTGTTTACTCTGATTTTCTTGTTTTGTGTTTAAAAAAACCCAGCATGTCTTGTGGTGAAAATCATATTATTCATGTTAAATATTCCCTCAATACTAACTAACAAGGGCAGGTCAAGGGGCAGGACTCTAGCTAATTGTTTTTCTGTGTTATGGCAGTAACTTGACATTGTTGACCTCCGTACAGTCAGTCTAATGTGAAACAACTGGAAGCGCCAGTGGGTGTGAATGTGTATATTTTGGGCAGCCTCGTCTGCTTTTTTTTACTGGAGCAAACCGCAGTGTTTGTCTGAAAACACTTAAAATAAGAAATTTGTTTTTGTGGTGTTAAGGTCAAAAAAAGGTCAAGCAATTTAAGGAATTTCTAATGTGCACTGGTAAGGCCCTATACACCTGAAATGTTATATCAGGATAATCCATTTTGACCTCTGTGTGACCAGTCCGCCCTGACATCACTTCAAGAACCAGTGTTTAAAGGCATTTATTTCTTAAGCAGTGTTTCTCTTGTCCGACTGGAACAAATAATGATATTTCTTCTGGTTGATGCGTCCTGACAACACATTGGGTGCATTGATTGACAGCTGCTTCTCTTTGTTCTCTCTGCTGGATGACAGCTTAGTAACTGGGTCACAGAGTTCACCGTCCACCAACACACACCCCAGACCGTCTCAGCTCCACACAATAAGCGGTCTTCACAGACGTAAACATTAGGATGCACATCAAATTCCTGCATTATGAACAGGGCACGTTTGCATGAATTTACAGCTTTAAATCCCAGACAACCGGCCTCTCTTCGTGACAAATGAAAGGCCCTCCAGCTGCTGATGAAGTGCTGCAGGCTTCGATCCGAGCTCCCAGTTGTGTACCTGCAGAGTAGAACATTGAACCATTGCTATCTTTAAACAGAACCATTGTGAGTGTGTGGGAGGTGTACAGTGACCAGTTTCCTGTTCTTACTTTCCCATCACTTTACTTTGGTGACAGAGAAAGGATTTTTTCTCGAAAGACATGTTGTCAATGTGTCTAACCTAATGACGGGTTGGGACCCTATGTTAAATTACCAAATTACCACCAATATGTAGGTAAATTTGGACTAATTTAATCAAAAAAGGAACTTCTCCCTTGAAGTGTAGCGCTGATCTCCTGTGCCATGTCATTATTGTAGCTCATATGCATTAATCAGAATAACCTCTGCAACTGAAGAATCTTCTTGGATGAGAGGTGAAACATCTTTGAAAAACCTACCAGTCAGGTTGCCCTTGATGTAACTACGTTGGATAAGATGAGCTGGATGACTGATAACCTACAGTTAACACCAATACTGTCTTCCAGACACATTTTTTTTCCTGTGTCAAATATTTGAGCCTTTTCTACTGCGAATGAAGGCGATGGTCCCATTAAAGCTGAGAACCAACAGTTAGTCGTTAGTTCCCTCATTACAGGATATTCACTTAAGCTATTTACCTCCAGGTATTTGTTGAGGAAACAGTGGAACGAAACCCTGGGCTGATACAAGTTTTCAGTTGACTGACGGTACACATGGCAACAACAGGAGCAACAGTGTAATTGGCTGTTAACGCCTCTCTGAAAAAACAAAGGACAGAACAATGACAACAGAAGAAATGGGCGTCACTTTAACTCTGGGCAGCAAGAAATCATCTCCAGGACACGTCATCAGAATACTGTCCTGTAATGACTCTGAATTAATATTTTATCAGCTACATTGTAGAAATGGAAAATTAAAGAATTTTTATTATTTTTATTACCAGTAGGTTTACATACGAGAGAAGCAGTGGATTGAAAACTTTAAGAAATAAAGCACCCAATAAGTTGGACTCTTCCCAACACTAGACTAAAGACAACCTAAAAGCACAGACTCTGATAGCTGCAGTATTTATTTTATTTCAATTATTTTGAGTAAAAACATTTAGCCGGCTTAATAACATTTTCTTAAATAATTGCTGCTATGGCTACTGTTAGAGAACAAATGGAGAATATTGAGTTTTTATTTTTGGTCTCATGCAGGAGGACAAAATGTATCAGTGACACAGAGCCAGTGAGGCCAGGCCCAGACTATATTATCCAGTGTCACAGCTGCAGAGCCAGCAGTTTTGTCTACACTTTGGTCTCACCACTTCCACTTAAAGGCAGGAACAAAAACCACAGCACATGTTCAGAGTTCAGAAAAGTCAATGTCATTCACAAGCTGGGAAAAAAATGTAATTTTGATATGTTGTTGTTTGCTGGTTCTAAGGCGTAGATGGGCCACCAAAGGTGTGGTGTGAGATATTGTCCAATGGCCCATTTGGGGGCGCTGCAGAAAAAGTTTAGGAACCAGTGTCCTCATGTTAGAATGTGTAGTGTTTCATCTACTTTACTCTTAGCTGCAGGCCATTGTGTTTTCCAGTGAACGCCTCATGCTGAGCTAACTCTTCAAACACAGGCTGCGGTGCACTTGTACAAAGTTCTCCAAGTACATTATGTTAGGTAACTGTGAAGCTGTTGACCCAATGTGGGAGTATGTTGTTCTGTCGGTTGTTTTCATTTCATAGAATGCGTGATTAAAGAGAGCTCATCTGAATGACAAGACAACAGAGACACATCCGTCATCACCACTCATACTGTGGTCTGGAACAGCAGAGATAAAACCATTAATTCGAACTGGAGCAGGTTTATGTTTGGTTACAAGTTGGACATCTACCATTCATTTTGTAAAAAACACTTACCATATCTCACCTACATCATAGTGAAGGTACCATAGTTATTCTATTAATTTCCCTCTATTCTCCCCATGTTGGTATTTCCATCTCATACTGCAAAGCTTTGACAGCCATGTTTTTTTTGAAAATCATTTTTAGAACAGGACCCAGCCGGGCTCCACTGCTCTGTCAATGTCAGTGGGTACTGTAAACGCCTCCAGCAACAGCAACAGTGGCCCAGAACAAGCAGGGTTTTTTTTTTCTTCCACTGTAACTTTCCTTCTTGCCGCCCACCACAGTTCAGAGGTCTTGTTTGATTTGACGCTCCTGAGATAACAAATCGCTCCTAACCATGAGCTGCTAACGACAGCATCGCCATGCTGAAGACGAGCAGACGCTGCCCTCATTTCCTCTCATTTGAGCCAGGACTTGCAAAACTGACTGCGGGGTAACAACACAGTGGGGGTGTGAAAAGTGTTTTTTCTTTCTTTTCTTTTTTAAGTTTGAGCTTATGTGTGCAGGTGAATAAAGACAGGGGAAAAAAAGGTTAAGGCCAAAGGTTTAGAAACATGAGAAAAAAAATGCAATTAGACGGTTAAAATAATGAAATCAAATAAACCTCTGCTATTCATTACCTACATCTAAAATGTCATACTGTTTTTCAGCACCTGGTACCATAGAAGAGTGGCTCATTGAAAGAAAAAGTATTCTTTTATGGTCTACAGAGCACATGATTTTTTAGGATTTTGGCTCAACTACCCAAGGCCAAAGACTCAGAACGAGTCTATGTTGTGAGGTATGTTAGCATTATTCAACGGTTTGACTATTTGATATATAGTCATGGTCTCAGTCCACTCTGCACTTTGCTTTTAATTGACCTTTAACCCCTAATCATTTGTTCCCCGAGTGTTACGTTAACAAAATAAACAACAAAGTAAAAATTTAAAATTTAACCTTTAGCGTTAAATTGAAGCCAGATTTTTTACAATTGGAAGAGGCAAACACTGTTTGTTATGCAGTCGACAGTTTTAAGGTAGTGTCAGAATTATTCAGCAATTCAAATGGGCTCATTCTCTCCTAAAAAAGAACAAACTCAAGGTTGAACATTATGTTCTTTGAACAAAGAGTTTGACCAAAAGCGATGACGCAAAACAAAGCATAAAGTTAATTATTTTGATCCTCCTCGTCAATCACCCAGAGTCAGATTTTCATTAGCTCCCTCCTCTAAATGTCCACTTTGTTTCTGTGAACTACGGCACATCTGCTTATTATAGGCCAGAAATTCCATTGAGATCTAGTGAAACACCAGGAGACCGGAGGATTCATGGGAAATGGCCATAAACCAGGACAGTTTAAACACAGCTATCAGATTTGTGCGTCATGTTCTTCTGTGCCCAGAGCTACTCCCTGCTTTCTTAACCTCTCTAACCTCCTGTTCTTAAATTTGTCCAAGGTTGTTCTGTAATGTCAGGATGACATCAGGAACAGACTGTGAGAGCCCTGGGGCCCTTCAGGTGGCCATTTTGTGTGTATGTGTGCGCGTGTGTGTTTTCTTTTTAACCAAAGTGTTCTGTACAGCGAGGAATGAAGTATCACCTCATCCTGAGGTAAAACTCATCTGTAGCTGAGCATTGAATACAGACTTTTGTTTTCAGTTTTGGGTTGTAATGATTCATGTTGTGTTTGCTTGCACACTCCCTGCCTGCATATGGGTCAGGATTTCCTCTGGACAGCCGACACACACCACCACACCCCTGGAGCAACAACAACGCAGTTCTTATAAAAGCCTGGCTTTTTTGGGACGAGGCCGGTGGTACAAAATTAGGAACTGTTGTCTACGTCAGTTACACAGAGACCCTAATGAAGAATGATTTGCAGGATTAACCTTGTAAAGTCCAGGGTGCATACAGTTGCCTTGACTACAGAGCGATCACTGTTTTTGTGAAGCATCCATTCAAGTGCTGATAAAATGTATTCTGTAGAAATACCTTGTGTAAGTTTGTCTGTGACTTCCTCATGTTCTTTTACAAACCTGGGTCAAACTAAATTACTTAATATCTTTAGGAGCTCCATCACATCACATCTCTGTTACCTCACTATGGTGGCGCTGTTTGCTATGGAATAACCCAGTTTGTTGTTGTTGAACATCATGTCAGGATTTGGCTTTCAAATGGAGATCAAGACAGACCTTGTTGTGAACCTTTGACTAAACATTCACTTTATTTTCTCACGAGTCTGATCCAAGTGTCACTTTTAGCTTCTTTCTTTCTTTTGCACTGATGGAACACAGTGTTCCATTAGTCCATTAGGATTAATTAAGCATCAGTGTGTTTATGCCTTTTTAAATGCTGAATCACAGTTGTGTGTTTCAAATGTCGGGTCTTTGAAAAAAGGAAACTTTCGTTGACCTTTTTCAAATTATTTGAACACTCAGAGGAATGTTTGCTAATCTTTAGGACAAGATACCAACCTGTACCAGCTGCTTGTGCTTCAGACTGATCATCTGAATCAACAGGACTGTTGCTGTGATGTTAAAAAACATAACATTTTAAATTATTATCTTTAAACCAGAGTTAAAGCAGTTAAAGTTTATATTAAGAAACAACTTCATCCAAATGTTGTCCACCTTCTGACACTGATGCTCACATTGACAGGTGTGTTCCCTATTTATTTTTTTTAATTACTTTTAGTCCTTTTTCTTATTTTGGAAATCTGGGATCAGCACAGTCCTAAGTGATGCAGCTCGGTTCTGCTTACTCATGTTGAATTTCTCATTGAGTGCCTGTGCTGTAATTGGACAACCTCTCTACAGCGAGGCTGCACCACAACAGATCCCTGCTCTCAGCACCAGCCTCCACCCTCAGCTCTGGCACCGTTCCCATCACTCAGGGCGAGGCAGAAATCCGTTGGTCTGATCTGCGATGGCTACGAACATGGTCTCCTGCCTCTGTGAGCGCAGATGTTCACACCTACGCACGTTTACATCCTAGACAGTTTATGCCAAGGACAGAGGCTCCAGTTAAAATGTTTAAAAAGGAGTAGTGGGCTGTAGCTGTCATTAAAACCCTACAGTAAACATACCACGCATCTAATGAGATTCATGAGCATGTGTGTCAAAAGTAAGGCCTGAGGACCAGGTTTGGTCTATTACATCTTTTTATTGGGCCCACCACACTTAAACATGTGCATGGTTGTAAGAAAATGAAGTTTATAATAGAGAGCGGTGAGCATTACCTCGTGGTCTGCAGCCCAGTAAACTGTCCAATCTGGCCTATAACAGGATTCCAAAATCAAATAATAATGTTAGACAAAGTGTCTCTCCAGAAGAATTCTGCCTGTCCGAGCATTATAGTTGGTAGAGAGTCAATACTGATGTTATTGAGTTTGACACTGGCATTCGGCACATTTTCTTTATCAATACCTGTGTAGTTTAGATCTATTAATTAGCAGGATTGATGCCACCCTTGTGTCTCTGTTAACGATGGAGAGCTAGAGAATTGTCGGCCAGTTGTGTAATTGGACCGTTTACAGCGAACACTGTGTGGGTGACGCATCAATGGAGCGTCTCACTTTTTCTGTGGCCTCCTTTTCACCTTCTCCTCTGTCACTCTGCAGTCGATGAGCTGCTGCGCTGTGGTTTTCTCTCCATTAATGATGTCATTAAATGGGAAACTGAATCAGTCACGTTTTTTTTTACAAGTTGGTCTCTGTGTCTGAATGACACAACAAAGCTGCTGCTGTTACAGCTCCAAGTCCAGGAACTATAATACTGTACGTTTTGCTTTGCGCTCATTAGCAGCTGTGATTGTTGACTACAGTTATTTTACCATAAAAAGGTAATTAACCAACTATTAGCACATTTATTTCTAACCATTTTGTCAGTTTGTGCGACACCATATATATTTATTTATATCTTCTGACTCCGTCTGTCTTTCAAACGGCAGCTGGAGGATTTCAAGGCACTGTTTGAACAAAGTTGGATTGTGTTTCTGCAGAATTTGTGCAGCCGTCACACAGAGTCTAATAATATGATTCTACCAAATTTAATGGAGATGACGCAGGGTTGTTGTCTTGTCATGTCACAATGGGGTCACGAGCCAAAACACGTTGGGAAATACTGGTTGAATTATTTTGGTTAAAAGGAGGTGTCGCCTGTGTCCTTGTGGTTGCACGGTCAGACCCGTTAGACGAGAACTCCATGTTTGAATCCTGCACCTGCTGCTCCACAGTTAAATGGAACATCCAGTTGTGTGAGTCAGAGTGTCTGTACATGGACCATCAAAGCCAATTCTTCTTCTTCTTCCTCCTCCTCTTAACATCTGTTAGGTTTCTTCGTTTCTCAGACTCGTATTCATCACTCATCCTCTCTGTCTCCATCCAGGTGCCCTCACAGTGGGTCTAGTCAGGCAATGCCAGACCATCCACGGACGAGACAGGACCTGCATCCCACCACGGCTGCCCCCGGAGTGGGTCACCACCCTTTTCTTCATCATCATGGGCATCATCTCCCTCACTGTCACCTGTGGACTGCTCGTGGCATCGCACTGGCGCAGAGAGGCGACAAAATACGCCCGCTGGATCGCCTTCACTGGCAGTGAGTGGCTGAGAAACCGACGGTGTTATCTGATAAAGAGTCTTGATATAAATTACTTTTTAAAAATACAACTACACGATTATACTACACATTTCCTTTTCCTCCTGTCCATGCTGATGACCCCTCTCTCCCCCTGAAAGCTGATTTATGCAGCTTGTCCTTTACCTAAGTGGGTGGCTGATGGGCCGCAGCCCTCCTCTTCTCCCTCTTCACCTTGAGCATCTGTGCTCACATTTTTACACACTGTTTCTCTATACAGTACATGTCCACACAGCACCGATAATAACTCTGTGCCAGTCAAATAATCTGGACCGGTTCCATGAGGATGTGTAGGAGGCGGGAGCTGGATTAGTAAGTGAAGGAAACAAGTGGTCTCCAGCACACTTACACCCACGGAGAGGTGGCATGTGAAGTCACAACACTGTGTACTGTTTGAGTATCTCAAATATTAGTTGCACATGTCACATGACTTCAGTGGGAAGAACAAAGGCCAGAGATCTGAAAGAGAACCAACGTTGCCAATTTAGGTTTTGACCTTCTTTGATCATTTGGAAATTACCTGAGATTTAATAATTTCACAAACTGTTTGTTCACCTGATTTTGTCTCACAAGCTGAAAATAGATGGAGATTGGCTTTGGGTGCATTAACAGTGACACTGAAGTGGTTGCCATGGCAGCTGTGTACAGTTGGACAAGAGAGATGTGTTATTTGTGTATTTGAGTTGAGGACAAAAAAAACCCCACACTTGAACGAATGCCGCACATCCACCAAGCACTTAAATTAATTCAAAGTGGATTTGAAAATAGACTAAATGGTCGTTATCTCTTTTTTATAGTTCATAGAAATATCAGTTTGAATCATCACTCTGTACTCAGACTCTTCAGTGACATTAAAATAGTGGCCCAGCACACTCGGTGTGTGTAACCCGAGTTCACCTGTGGCTGTTTAAAGTTAGTTGAACCAAGTTTAGTCAAACACTGTGTTTATTTGAGTGTCCGGCCCCCACCGTGTCTGTCCAGAAGACCACAGTGTCAGTGAAGGACGGTTTTTATACCAACACCCAGTCTTTGTCTGTTACGACTGTAATGGCTGTTTTACTGCTGACCTTTCCTGTTGTATTTGAAGAGTGGCAAAAAGTGTGTGGGGAGGTGTAGCAGGAGCACAAAATGTTAAGTGAGGAAGTGGGTGGAGAGCACAAAAACATTCAAGCAGAGAAGTGAATAATCATGTTTTCAGTGGTCCAAATGTGCTGATGGCGGGGAGCAAGTCTGTGGGGGACGGCAGCGGAGACACAAATAGAGGTGCAGGGAGGGAGGGGGCGCTCATTTGGGACAAACAGGTGAGCGGTCTGTGGTTTAGGCGACTCAAGGCCTCTGCTGCTTCAATGGAGATCTTTGTATGAGCAACACACACTGCCTGTGTGTGTGTGTGTGTGTTTATACACCAAGGTGTAACTGTCTCATGTGGTAGCTGGTTAGGAAAAAGTGCAGTGAACAGAATATTAGCTCATATACACTTCAGTTTTAAGAACATCAGCTGACCTATCAGAATCTTTTTAATGTATTTGAACCTAAATCTGTATGCATGATACAGCAAAAACAAACCAAAAACTGCAATAAGTTGTCCTTTCTCCATTGTTTATAACTAGTATATACATTTCTTAAAGTTTCTGCAAATTATTATCAGATCAAATTTTCAGACTTTTCTGTTATTCCTCCATAGACGTGTGGTCATTAATAGAATAATCTTGTCACCGATCACACTGCAAATCTACATCTATCATCGTCTGAAAAGAACTCTTGGCAGAGTCGGTTCTATGCTGGTCCACGTTATGTGTCTACTTTGGGTAATTGCCGCTGTTAAGCAGTTTGAAGGGTCCATTGTGTCCCGATAATGAAGTTACTAAAATTGAATTCTCTTCAGACAGCGTCAAACGGAGCTCAGTTCTCTATTAAATGTGAAAATCAACTTTAGACTCTTCTGAGATGGTTATTTTTAAACCCAGGAGCTCCACAGTCGGTTCTTGTGGGGTTTTGTACCGTTACTTAAAAGCACAACTACTGAGGATTTCAAATAAATACAGAAACACGGCATGGAGAGTGACATGGAATATTTTTAATACAATAAGAAACCTTTTGACTTAAACACACAGCAATTATCAGATGTTTAACAAAGTACATAAATGAGTGGCATTGAACTAAGTTTTCCTCTTGTTTTTTTTCCTCCCAGTGATCCTCTTCTGTATGGCGGCGCTCATCTTCCCTATAGGCTTCTACATCAACGAGGTGGGGGGTCAGCCGTACAAGCTGCCCAACAACACGGTGGTCGGCTCCTCGTACGTCCTGTTTGTGCTCTCCATCTTCTTCACCATAGTGGGATTGCTGTTCGCAGGCAAAGTTTGCCTCCCGGGCTGAGGACTGGACCGTGTCCGCCTCTGGACTGACTCAGGAGGCTGTTGAAGATTTTACCGGGAATTGCAAAAAAAAACACACAATGACTGAAAATCAAAGACGACAAACTCTTGACAGGAAGCCTGAAACGGGGAGTTTTTTTGCTCATGTCATGGGAATGTGGCGCCTCCGAGTACATACCTACTTTGATATGGAAACAAAGTAATGAACAAAACACTACAGGGGACATGGGCTAACAGAGGCGGTGGGTGAGATAGAGGGCAGCTGAGACCGCCGCAGCCCTCTGGTATAAAGTGTAACCGTCTCTCTCTGCCTCCCTCTATTCTGGTTCGGGCAGAAAGGCCGTTTAATGTGCCTCTGTCATGGCAACGGTGACCACGATGCTGGCGCACATTACCCGAGGACCACTACAGCCACTTCTCTACTTGTCTGCCCACTCCGCCGCTCTCAGCACACATCTGCACCATCACCACCGACCCGTTGCTATTTTTGGCTCCTCTTAGCTATTTCAGTTGTGTGTTTTTCTGTTGTTGTACATTTTGTTTGTTTTTGTTTTATAATTCTTCCTGCCTCCTTTTCACTGAAGTAGAGTGAGCGCAACTGAGGTTTACTGAACCAAACCGTTGAGGGATTTTTGGCAGGACGGTCTCTGCCCACTTGGCTTCAGAGCGAGGGTTTATTCTCTCCTGCTGCACCGTCACACAGTCTCAGGTGTGTGCACTGGAGACAGCAGCTGTGGTCCAGCTCTCAGCTTGAAACACAGGCTGCTGTGGACGAAAGGTCGGTGCTGGTGAGCCGCCTCTCTGTCCTCACCCGACTCCAGCCCAGGAGCAGGTGGCAGCGAGAGATGACCGGTGGGCAGCAGAATGGGTCAAGTACAATTAAGGAGAATGCCACTCAATGTGAGACATTACATACAATATTTACACTTGCAGGCCGCTTCAATAGCAACTATCTAATCAGCCAATCACATGGCAGTAACTACCAGGCTTTATGTATAAAACTAGATGACTAAAATAAGCTCTAACACATGATCTGCCAGACACACGCTTCTAGTCAAGTGTCTGCCTGAATCAGTCAGCAGCACAGAGAACTATGCACTTTTTGCACAGTCACAAAAGCATTAAAAGCTATTGGGCAACACCTTGGTGCAGTACATTTTGGCTCCTGCAGGACTCCAGAACCAGAAGTTCTGCTGATGTTGCCTACCAGCCAGCAACATTTTATCTTGATAGCCAACATCGAAACAACACTAACAATAAATGGGTGTCAGCTGATTAGGTTTGCCGTTGTAGTAGCGAGCGAGCAAGATGCTGTCCTTGCTCAGGCACAGAGGCGTATGTAATCATCTGGCGACACTGCTTCAAAAAAGTGGCGTGTCAAGTACTGTAGAGCGCCAAGACCCTAAGACTCCTGCTTTTTTTAGAGTGTTGTGTCAGCCCAGCAGGAGGGTTTAGCTTGCTTGGTAACATGTCACTGTGGTCATGTCACTGTCTTCGATTGACAAAAGACTCTGAGGTTAATTAGCGCTGTGCTGGATCACGTTGAGACTGACATCCCAAGGGAAGTGATCTTACATAATAAAAAGAAGGTAGAAAATGAGTAAGTGTTAAGTGTTCTTCCAGTCGACAGGATGGTTTACTGGAGAACATTCTCTAATCTTTAAAACACTAAGAAAACGTCAGCAGCATTAATACACCCAGTTATGTCATCTGAATATTTGTTTGTAAAGAGAAGTCTGTTAAGCTCCTCTACCATAGCCCACTGGGTAGATCCTCTTCTACTGCATTAATCTCCCTGTGACATCATCCTGCTGCGGTGTGATTGGCTGGTCAGATATTTGAGACAGAACGCAGAATTATTTTTAATGTTTTTGTCTGTAACGAAGTAACTGTGAATTTAAAAGGACACAATCCAATCCAATGTAAATGTTACATTAAGTTGAACCCACACATAACAGCAATAAATAGAGAGGATGAAATAACGACAGTGAAAAATGTGAAAATATGGTCAGAGTTGATGGTATTCTCCTTTAGTGTATGATGGGAAGGACATGAGCCAGGAGCATGAGCATATCTGTTGTTTTGTTTTTGTTTTGTTTTTCTAATACAGTGAAGGCACTGGGACTGCAGGTCAGGTCCATGCGTGGGGCTGGGCCTCAGTGTGCTGCTCTCAATGTCTGTGGATGGAACACACATGCAAATACACTCCACCTTATCCATAATTATTTCAGGCAGTATTCCGGCGTATTGTCAGTAAAATGAAATACTGATTTTAGAAATCATTGATAAACCTGATCAAAATGTAAAAAAAACAAAACAAACTAAAACACGGCCTATAGAACAAACCCGTAAAATGTTCAAGAATAAAAATGTCGGTAACAGCACACAGCTCTGTGATCAACTAGTCTGGGGTAATACTGCCACAGTCTTATTAGAAAGCAGATGTTGCATTACATCTGTAATGATATTGTGAGCACATTTAAAAGACTCGTGTCATTAGGGTTTGTTTATTTTATTTCATTTTTTTACTTCTGGGCTATGTGTGGTGGAAAATACTGCACATCCACTTCATCAAAATGACAGTACTCAGTATTAGAGTTCCTACGTCAGCATACAAGCAGCTCACATTTCAGATGCTATAAATGTTTGTGCTACATATCAAGTAAAAAACAAAATCATAAAGCAGGATTATTTTGGCAAAATTATCAGTTATTCCTGTTAATAATTTCTGCTCCAGTCACTGAACCAAAAAAAAAATTCTTCTCATCAACATAAAAATTCTCACTTAACTCATTACCCGTATTCAGCAGTTGTGTTCAGGGTGTGTGTGTGTTCAGTCAGTCACAGACTTCTGAGTTGCTGAGTCTTAAGACTTCTCGTTTGTACTGTTTCCTGCTCAGCTTTTCTTACTCTGTCTGACGGTGTATTTTAAATGATTTGTGCACTCTGCGTTGCCCTGTCTTTGGGCGGTTTCCTTATTGGGCCATGACATGTTTTTGTTGAATAATGTACAGACACAACAGAAAAGACAGGATGTCAGTATTAGAAAGCACTGTGCATTCAGCAGTATAGGTAACAGAAGTAGAAGCACCACAAATGTATAAAAAAGAGAACTTCTTACCTCATTGTTTTTGTTTCTGTTTTTTTTTTTTCTCAAATGGTGGCAATGTGTGCCGTCTAATTTGTCTCATGCCTTGATCAGATGTCTACACATAAAGCCTATGATCATAGGGAATTATTTATCACTGAATAAAAAGATGTAAAAACAAGTGAGTGCGTGACTCCAGATCAGTCGAGGTGATGAATGGAGATGGTTGTCAAAATGGATTTGATGATTTATTCAGGGGATTTTTTTTTTCTGTAGCTTTGAAACCGTTGCTGCAGCACGTGACCCCAATGTCCTTCCCCTCCCACACCATTTAGTCTGGAAATAACACAAATGGGCTGTGATCCAAGAACACCTTCAAGGATGAATCAGTGAAGAGACGTCTCCGTCGTCAAAGATGGCTTCCTGTTTGGAGCTGCAGTCTTTTATGCTTCACTATCATTTAGCAAAAAAGGTATAAATGTCTTCAGCCACACTTTTATTCCAACCCATTGGTTATGAATTCACGGTGGCCGTGCTTCTCCAACTGGAAGATGTCACATGGCCATTACGTCCTGCCTTTTAAATTTCTGACTGTAACAAATGCTGCACAAATGTGTGCGTTACTGTCACAGAGCCAACGTCGCAAAGCATGACGTTTGCTGTCACTCAGTTGAAACAGATGGTTGTGGACACATGCACATACATGCACTGAGCTGCAGCACAAGAGACAAGAAGTGCCTTTACGTGCCAATATATTAGAACGTTACTTAATTTTATTGGTAAAAAAAAATTGCTTAAAAATGACACGATTTTTTGCAGCACTAAATTGGTAAATACTGTAAAGAACTACTTTCTTATTTATATAACCATATATGTATATACATATATACATCCGTATGTATGTATATACATAGAATTACATATATACGTACGTATATATGTATATACATATATATTATGTAAGGATATCGTCTATATTTTTGTTTTGACCGCATCTCATTGGTATCGTTAAGCGAGCTTAAAAGAGAGGAAACACTGACACCTAAAGGCCACTTGTTATACAAGGTTTAGTTTATTTTTAATGAACTAACGCTGCGAAATGTATCAGTTGTTTTTTTTAAAGAACCAAGAAGTGCTTTTTATGACTTTTTCTTACACCAATGGTAGGTGCCGAAATAAATTAATGACTGCACTATAGACATTAATGAACTGTGGATAAACCAATGATATTATTAAGTATATATAATTCCAATTATATACATTTATACAGAGATTGTGTGTGTATACAAAGTATAACCAGTGAGTTAAAAAAACGTCCGATATAAATTAAGTTTTTTTTTTTCTATACCTGCGAGTTGAAGCTGCGGAATAATATTATCAGAATGCAGATTTGAACACCTCATAATTATTTCTGCGGTGTAAAGTAGGTCTTTAAAGACACCAAATATTTTTGCATGACCTGTTTAAAATATAAACCTTTTTTATATCCGGGTCCTTGTACATGTATCTGCTCTCTTGTTGGACATTGATATTGAGGTGAAAGACATTCAACAACTTCACCACTAGATGGCGTTAAATCCCACTTACTTTGGCTTTAACTTTTAAATTTTTGTGAAAATATATTGTGGGATTTTACAAATATTCCTATAAACACGAAGGGAAATAAATTAATTCTTATTCAAATACAAATTTATTTTAAATAAAAAATTATTGTGAGCAACAATGTGGGGAACAGCGCCGCCGATATGACCAACATATCCGAGGAGTCTCAGGTGAAGCTGCAGGTGAGTGACAGGTGAGAGACGAGACGCTTCCACGGACAGAGCCGTACCAAGCTACTAACACCGGGCCATTACACTGGTGTAGATGAGAGGGCTACAGAGATATTACTAAGGTAAGAAAATGGACGTTTGTGTTCGATAAATCCTTAGAAAAGTTTTAAAGAAGCCGTCAGTAGAACGAACACGTGACGACGTTTGGAGCTTGGCATCGTTTATTCATCACTTTATCTTTTTAGTTCATGTGTTTGACAGTAAAACAAACACACACAAAAAGTAAAAGTACTTCTTGACTTCTGAATTATATTGGTACTTTGACCGGGATGAACTGGCGAATGATTATGTAAATATGAATCATTATATCAGTCAGTATTCATCCGTTCGTTTGTTTATTCATTAATACACGTTGAGTGCCAATGTCCTCCGCTATCACCGCCAGGCTGTTAATTTCACATTAAAATGCTGTTTTATTTGTATGATAAGTTAAATCGATAGCATGGAGATTGTTAACCGTCATTTTTATTGATTGTTTTCATTGCAGCAGCCAATTAGAACACGTTTTTACAGCAGCAAGTCAAACGTAGGTTTTTTAATCGAAGATATAATATTAAGGAATTCGATTAAAACACATTTTCCAATACAACAAATGACAGCACAATTGTAAATACAGCCATGTTCATTTTTTGTTAGCATATTTGACGGTGGAAGTGTAAATGGCTTTTTTCTGTGGCCCTGTGATGGACCATCTCCAGTTGTTACCCATATTTGCCTGACTGTCAGCTGCAGCCCCTGATGTCTGAGGCTGGTATGATCGTCAGTCATCTTGGTGGTGTTTGCTTGACTCATAAATTAAAGATCATTATTTTGAGGATTTTTTAAATTGCCACATTAGGGGCAAGACTGAGTAAATACTGTTAGTTATTGGAACAGGTTTACGTATCAGACAGTCATGATATGATTCTGTGAATATTTCAGAGGAAAAAAGATGAAGTGACACCAAAGATGTTGAGAGCTGACACATACAGTATGTAAACAAACGTTGTTTATCACCAGGACACCGATGGAGCTGTGTGGACCCAACATGAACGACCGTGGAGCTTCTCTGTGCCAGGTGAAGCAGCTCCCGTCTCACAGCGGCTCCATTTGTCGCCTGCAGGCCAGTGCGGGCCTCGTGCACAGCCTGCCCCATCAGCCCTGGGTCAACCACACAGAACCGGCCCTCGTCTCCAGTCCGACCGTGGCCCTGCGGCACAGGGTGAGCGGGGCCACGGCAGCCAGCTGCAGCGGTGCGGACTGTGCTGCCTCCAAAGTGAGAGAGGATGCTGCGGTGGTGCAGGGAGTCTCCGCAGGAAAGGTGCTGGTCACTGGAGGAGGGGGTTATGTTGGCTTCAGGCTGGGGAAAGAGCTGGTGCGTCAGGGGATGTCGGTGGTCCTCCTGGATCTGAACAAGCCTCCCAGTGAGATCCCCGATGGAGCAACCTTCTATCAGGTGTGTTTTCATTATGACCTTTGCCCTCACCTTACCCCTGCTGGTTGTAATTAGGACAGTTTGATATGAGGGGGCATGAAGATGAGCTATTAATAAACAAGATAAGAAGACATTAGAGATGAGACAAACTGACCTGAGATCAGATGAGATAGAAGGTGCTGAGAAAAACAAGATTAGACCAAAATAAGAAGTCATGAGAGAAAATTATATGAGAGGAAATCTGAGGAGGATAAAATCTGATGTGAAAGTAGACCACAGATAAAATGAGGTGTGAAGAGATGGGATAAGAGGAGAGGAGAGGAGAGGAGATTGTCATTTGTTATTCATCAGTATTTTTTTTAAGTCTTATAAAGTTTATTGTGAGTTCTTGTGAGATGTTGACATAAATACATATCCTGGTTGCATTTGGCATTCTATATGTCAGATTTGAAATTTGACCAAATGTCAGGGTTTAGACGGCACCACAGTGACCCTGCTCTGCACAGAATTGAAAATCATCTGCGTTTCCTTGCGTCAGCAAAGCCTCAGCGTGTCTCCCAGGTTAGTCTGCGTGCAGGCTGAAAAAAGACACAGGTGAGTGATCCGACATTGAGCGCCAGCTGCTGACTGAGTCACAGAGGGTGGAGACCTGATTCAGGTTTCACCTGCACTTCTCATGGCACACTTACCTTAATTATAGCTGCCTTTGAGGAGATACTTATAGACGTCCATTGATGTGACACTCCGACCTGCTCACTGGATGGTATGGTAAAGGCTCAACCAGAGGTGGTGGGATTGTGGGCTCTAACTTCCTGTCCTCTCCAAAGATCAGTTCTAGTTAAGACTGACTGAGTACCCCCCCTTTCCTTCCCCTCCCCTCCCTCTCTCTCCTCTATAGGGTGACATCCGAGACTATAGCTCCCTGTATAAAGCCTGTGAAGGTGTGGAGTGTATATTCCATACAGCGTCATATGGCATGTCTGGACCAGATCAGGTGACTGTAATCTCTCATGTTAGTCCTGTACGCATACATTTAAAATCATGGGGGGGAGGGGGGGAGGGGGCCCACTGTGACTTCATAACACACAGCTGTGAGAGGAGTGAGATTATAAACTCAGATAATGAACCGTTAGGTACAGCAAGGAGCTTCAGTCTCCTGTTTTATATGTATCTTTGTGGAAAATGTATATATTTTATATAATTATATACATTGTTTTATATATATATATATATATATATATATATACATATATATATTTCTTAATAATACTGTTGGGCTGTTTTTGTAATATATATTTATTATATATTTATATATGTGTGTGTATTTATATTTATATTTACATTTAGTCTCTGTACAGTAGAAATATAACGCCTTTTGTGTGTGTCCAGCTGAAAAAAGAGCAGGTGGAGTCCATTAACGTTGGAGGGACTAAAAATGTCATCAATGGTAAGAAAACTTACATCTTCTCTTTTACTCTGGACTGCTGAAAAAGAACTCGGAATATCTCAAATCCAAATGCTGTCTAGACAGTGTTTAGGATTTTTTTTTCTCCGGTTGAAATGATCTGTACACACTCTCTGTGTGAATATATTGTTGCTCTTCAACGTGATCTGTTGGCCCTCAGTGTGTAAGGAGAGGAGCATTCCCCACCTGGTCTACACCAGCACCATCAGCACTGTGTTTGCTGAAACACCCATCGAGGACGGTGATGAGGCTTCAGTGTCTTATGTGCCCCCTGATGTGGTGAGTAAAAGAACTGCATCCACTGAAGTTATACCCCGAGTTTAACTACTACTACTACTACTACTACTGCAGCTATCACTACTACTACTTCTACTACTTTGTACTGACTGGTGTACTTGTGCTTCAGCCAATTGACCACTACTCCAGAACCAAAGCTATTGCAGAAGAGATGGTCCTGTCAGCCAACGGATGCTGCCTGAAAGGTGGGGGAAACTACACATACGTTTTTAGCAAAGCCTTGGTATTACTGGTCTGTAATGTAAGGCAAATACCATGGGTTAGATGGGTAAAGAGTTTAGGCTTAAGTATGCAGCAGAAGCTGACCTGCTTCCAGCCATAAATGCAGCACTACAGTGGCCCACAGTACATGTAGCCTAGCAGCCTAGCATTGTTTGGGAAACATTACAACAAAAATAATGTCATGTCATTAAGGGGACAACTCAACTTTGTCTTAAATTCACGGCTCCATATGTTGAGCGTTGGCCTGTGTTCTGTGGTCTGAAGGTGGAGGTCGTCTGAGGACCTGTGCTCTCAGAGCATGTGGCATCTACGGACCTGGGGAAAGAAATCTGCGCAGAGCGATGGTAGGGACCATCGACACATTCACGTCATCCACACTGCTTTATGATCCACAGTATGTACTGTTGTGCTGGCAGTGGAAAAACTACACATCATCACAGTGTGGGAAGCCTCTGGGCCCAAACTGCTGCCCAGCTTCAGTGGTTTACATTATTTATGGATAGCATCCAGTTACAACCACCAAGTCTTTGCTTCCACTCCTTCCTCAGCACTTCTGGGTTTATTGGCAGCCAAGTGAGTTGAATCCTTACAGACATGTACTGTGGGTTCAGCCTGGTTCTGTCCTCTGTCCTGGGTGACAGATGAAGGGTATCTACGGGACAGAGTTATCAACATGAGAAAAGAGAGAAGTGATTTTATTTCACTTTAGCTACATAATTTAAACATTATTCACAAAGTCCAATAAACACAGTGGTTCTAACTCTTAGCCAAACCTTTGCTAAAGAACAGAGAGCAGTGTTTATTTAGTTGACAGCTCATATTTAAACCTGTCCACAGTGTTACATTAACTGTCACCTATTACATATAATACATCTGGTGTTGACAAAGGCGATTATGACCCAGCTCATCTGTGATTCCTTGTCCCTGATGCACTGAGGCGTTTAACCTGACCCTTTGTGTTTCACTATGAGGAGGATGTTCTTTGGGTTACATACCTCTCCCTTTCCTTCAACTTTGTCTCTACTGACTAACCATTTTGAAATTATTTCACCCTCATGGCCAATTAGGCTTATGCGTTGGCACTAATTATGTCACGAGTGAAAAGAATAGAAATATTTTTTTGTTAAATGTTATTAAAAATCAATAGTGAATCTCAGTTGACCAATAATCACTTTTACTTTTGACTTCACTTTTCTTCTTCTTTTTTCAGAACGTAGCATCGCAGAACAAATCAATCTGATAGAATGTAGCATCGCAGAACAAATCAATCTGATCTTGTTTTTGTTCTGGTTCTCCGTTTTTCTTTTCTACAGGTCAACGTCGAGCGCCGTCTGCTCTGTTTCAGGTTCGGGGACCCTCAGGCCAAGATGAACTGGGTTCACATCAACAACCTGGTGCAGGCTCACACTCTGGCGGCCCAGGCTCTCACACCCAAGAGGAACTGTGTTGCTGTGAGTCCTTCATTTTAGACCCAGGATGAGAAATGTCTCCTTGTCTACAGCACTGGTCTCATACAGGAAGTAGCCAAAAGTAACAGAAAACTCTGAGAAAATAATTAATAAAAGTTAGCTTAATTATTTACCATCAATCAATAAAAATCTACTATTAAAGTTAGCATAAACATTTAGCCAAATTCTAAATGTCATCCAATGAAGTGGCTTGAATCAATTCAACACACATAACCTATCGAGTACAACTAAATAGCAACCACTTGGCCTCGTAAAAAAAGGTATTTTTTAGATTCAATCTCATAAAGTCATATTGTGCCCTGAGCAAGTGCCAGCATTAACCATCCAAACGAGAACTGTCAGCTGCTGTGATCAGTTCCCTGCAGCCTTAGGTCTGAGCCTGCGGTTGTTTGTTCTTTTTTTTACAGAGTGGACAGGTCTATTTCATTAACGATGGCGTCTCAGTCAATCTCTTTGAGTGGGTGACACCTCTGGTGAGTTACAGGATGAGGAAAGTGCTGAAATGATATTTTATATTTTAAGTTACCTTGGAAATATTAAGGTCCGACAGTATGAACCATGTTACTATTCATGTCGATTGTTCTTTTCCATACAGTTTGAAAAGCTGGGCTGCAGCCGGCCGTCGATTAACCTTCCTGTTTCACTGGTCTATATGTTAGGTAAAACATCTGGATGAATGTTTGTCATTTCTTTTAACTCCTCCAATAACAGACTCTAATAACACAAGTTGTTAAAGCCACTAACTTCACAAAGGTTTATCTTTTGTTTGCAGTTGTCCTGATGGAATACTTGCATTTATTCCTAAGGCCTGTAATAGAAGTACCTTTGCTTTTTAACAGAAGTGAGGTAAATAAGCTTCATTATGTCTCTGTCTTTCTCTTCTTTCCCCTCTTCTAACATGTTTGAGTCTGACATTTAAGCTATCATTTGGCTTACTAGACCATTGTTTCCCAAAGACTGGGTGGCGACCCTCAGGTGGGTCATAAGAGATTTTTTTTTTGGGGTCGTCTCTCATCATGTTTCACAGGAGTTTACGTATGATGTCTATTGACTTGGGTCGTGAAGGTTTGTGACTTTTAAAATATGGGTCGCCAGAAAAAAAGTTTGGGAAACACTGAACTAGACAACATAGCTGATTCATTGGCTACATTTGTATTTATCTGCCTAAACCTAATGTTTTTGACACTGAGTTAATTTTGGGCTAAAGTTTAATTATTGTTTAGTTATTTTTGCTAACTCTCAGTTATTTCTGTGTTGACCTTTTTCCAGACTGACATTTAAGTATCCTTGGATGAGTCTTTTTTTTCTTTTGACATTTTTGTCTGTTCCTCAGCTGTTTTTGCTCTGTCTGATAAAAGTGTTTATTGTTGTCTTTGGTGTGCTTACTGACCTTGGGCTAACTTATACCTGTATATAGTGCTAACCTTTAGTTTTTCAACATCTCTCAGCTTATTCTTTGGCATGTTTTTGAAATTTAATTTGAAGCATATGGGTTTCAAATGATGGCTTAGATAACATGTGCCTATTTTTAGATAGACTTTGATAGTTTACGGTATTTTAACCAAACTTGTCCATTTCCGCGACTCTTTTTGCTACACTTTAGCCTTGCTGAATGGCAGAATTTGCGATGCTCCGGAAACTTTGGTATAGTTTCCTGAGACCCGAAATTTTAGCTGCAACCCCTACTTTTTTTAATTGCAAATACAGAGAAGTTGTAACCACAGAGATCTGGTGGTGGTGTGATCTCAAGAAACAGCCTGAGCTACATTATAGATGATGAAGCTGTGACTCTGTGGTGTTGAAAGTTGCACATGTGGAGCTTTGTGTCAACATATGCATACATGCCTCAAAGAAAGTAGCTTCCTCATGTGCTGGAGGTTAGGTTACCTGCTCACTCAGGAGTACATTCTTGTTTAAGTCTCCTGCAGCAGTGAAGGGCGAATTCATGAATTCATTCATGAATTATGGAAAACAATCGCACTGTTGGGTGAAATAAATAAATACTGATGGATAAGTGAAAGACTAATCTGAAAGTTGTCAGAGACACAGGAGGCCTTTTAATGACAGCTGACGGTTTGTGAAGAAAACACATTATAGCCTGGGAGGCCAGGGGCATTTAGGGTGCATCTTAAGGTGCCTCTGCTGTTGCCTGTAAGGTCCTCATGAATGTGTGATGAGGCAGGAACCAAAGCTGAGTGCTGCGGCCTGCTCCTGGAGCTCATTCTGTCAGACAGCTGCTGGCTGGGGGATCGATGATTGTGCCGTGAATAAAACATAATGTGCTGTGGGTGAGAACAGGAAGTTCAGGAAGAGGGTGCACAGGAAGTTACCTCACTGCAGTAGCCGTTTCCAAGGTGAAGTGAGTAGGGCAGCCCTCGAGCCTGAACTGAAATGATCCTGCCAACTACCCGATCACATCATGGCGTGATGTCAGCAGGTTGATGTTTAATGTAGATTTTTTTTTTCTTTTGATGCAAGCGAGAAATCAGGCTGGTTTTCACATGCAGCACTGGTGTTTAAAGTTTCAGAGTTCTGTCAGTGGGGAAATAATGTGGTCCACATTTGGACTGAATTAAATCACCTCTCCGCTCTGTGTAGAGTACAGAATGAACAAATACAGGAGAAGATGTGGCGTAGGGAGTAGAAAGTGTGGAATATGGCCAAAAACATGAAGAGGTACAGATAAAAGCAGAACTTAAACTTGAACCTCACGTCATTTGTTAGATGTTTGTAACTAAGCATGCTAAGGGTTCCAGGTTTAATTATATTTGGCCTGTGAGATCATATCAAATGTTTATTAGAGCTGGCCCAACATTATAAAGCCACTATATACTGGCAGGATTTGTAGTGTTAGTGATGAATGCACGATATTATAGCACATACATTTGTGGTTGTTCTTTTGTTAAACCTGTAAAAAGAGAGAAGATAAGAAATGAATATCACTGATGTGTGAAATTTCTTATTTGAAATTTAATTTCTCATGTATTTAGAATATTAAGGTTTGGTTGTGGAGAGAAGGGAAAACATGTACAATTCCAGTCAATGTTTCAATGAATATTGAGTTTGGCTGAGTTTGGACTCTGATTCTGTGAAAACATGCAGATTAGGGATTAAGGAAAGGAAGGTCATTGTCAGTGTGACATTGTGACACACACCACTGCACACAACCAAATGTGACCTCTGCATTTAACACATCACCAAAGTGAACAGTGGGCAGCTTTTTGAGCGCCGGGGAGCAGTGTGTGGGGACGGTGCCTTGCTCAGAGCACCTCAATGGTAACTTGGCAGCTGGTGGATTCGAACCTGCCCCATTAAGTAGCTGTGACTCTAAGAAAGCTGTGAAAGTGAGTTTGAATGTCTCTTCAGCTTCATCAGGATGAACTCCACCTTCACCTGATGTCTGCTGGGATGGACTTCACCTCTTATTGTCCTCTTGAGAAAATAAATAAAAATACTCTCTGGTCTTAACCACCACCACCATGAAGTATTTTATTAAGTTTGTGAGCAAATATAAACATACCACAATTTTAAAAAAGGAGGATTTTAAAAAAATACAATAAAGTTTTACTGTATGTTTTACTGGAGGAGCTGCAGCAACAGCTACAAGGATGTTATAAATATATTCTGTGTGGATGATCGTCAGGTCAGACAGGCTGAGCAGGACCCAGGAGTTTCTGCTGGTAGTCCTACAACAGGACTGTACAACAGTTATAAAAATGAGTCACACCGAGTGACACCGCTGTAGTTACATGAACAAGGAAGAGAAGAATTGACTTGTGGGAGGATGCTCTGCTGGAATGTTTGTGTTTCTCCCTCAGCTTTTAGTTCTCATGCAGACACTTTGGCTGCAGCTGACTGAGGCGGTGCATTTGTCTGACAGACGCAGAGTTGTGGATCGATTAGTCATTTATATAGTAGGTCTCCCTGTTAGCAGCACAGCTCTCTGTAGGTGGATGAAAAGAAAAACTGTAGTGTAAAGTGCTTTGAATGGTCATCAGGACTGGATTATTTTTCCCAGGTCATAAGACAAGCTAACAGGCTAACAGAACTTAGAGCCCAATATTAAGACAAAACTGTTTATCTGACAACTATAAATTTTGTGTTTTTTGTTTTCGTGGCTTCTGTGAGAAATTTTGTGTATAAACATTTATTATTTTTAATTGCAGGTAATGAAAATAGCATGTACCCACACTTTCAAGATTGACAAGGCTGTACGAGACCTGGGTTACTGCCCGAAAACCTACCACCTTTCAGACACAGTGGAAGAATACCTGAAAACCCGACCACCTCGATCCAAATTATCTGTTTTTAACCTGACTCAGCTGCCCTTACATTTCCTCCTGATGATGATAATGATGGCCCTGGGCCTGGTTCTACTGATGATGACCAGTTTATTCTTCCAGAGCTAGAGTCCAGGCAAAAATGGAGAGATTTTGGCTGTAAGGATGTCACATGGCAGTTAATTGTATAAATCATTGTTATAATTGCTTTGGTGATTTATTTCTGTTCACAAAGTTAAATAAGATAAGCAAATAATAAATTCTACCTTTTTCGAATTGTACAGTTTTAAAATTGAAAGTTGTAACTTAAACCTATTTGATTAAAATACACATGCAACATATTGTATCAGTTGATTTCAGTGAAGGCAGATACCTAACTGTATTATTTCAAAACTGATTGGTTGAACTCAAAATTATTGTTTTGTGGCTGATCTTTTTTTTCCTTTTAACATTGGTATGGTTATTTTGTACACTTTTAGAAATAAAATAATGTTCATGCTTTTACCAAACAAACGATTATGCGCCTGTGGCGCTGAAATCCTAAATGAGTAAACAGAGACTGTCTTCGTTCATGCACACATTTGACCACAGAGAGGCGCTCTTGCACTGCCGAGGCTTTGTCTGAAAAGTTTGCACTAGGAGTAAAGTATATTTTGTGTATTGGGATCGTGGTGGTGAAAAATAAAACGTCTGTGTAAATAATTGTGACGGTTTTTGTGAGAGGAGAACACCTGGTAAGAAAACATAAACAACCTGGCAGCGGTGGGATTCGAACCCACGCCATCGAAATGACTGGAGCCTAAATCCAGCGCCTTAGACCACTCGGCCACGCTACCTGTGTCCCTTTACAGCGGTACATGTCTAATTAGATACTTCTGCGTAGGTATATGGTTTAGCATTTTTGTTTATATATATATTTTTGTATATTTGTATTGTTTTGTTTTATTCTGTTAACTGATTATTATGTCGTATTACGGGCTTTGTAGCCGAATTTATCATCTAGCGACTTGCAGTCGAAGTTTTTCTCTGAGTCAACTGCGTCTTGCTACCATGTGAAACGACAGAGTTAACCTGGTGTACCTAATAAAGAGGCCGTTGAGTTCAAGTCTACGTGTCACTCATCTCAAGGAATTGTCACATTTCTCCAGAAATTGTAGTAGCCGTAGAACAAATGGATGCGTCGTTTCCAGAGGTGACACAGCACTGCCTGCTGCTGGGTTTCTGGTGAACTCATAATATCATTTATTTGTAACCTAGTCTCCAACCAAGTCTGTCGTTCTGCTTTTACAAAATAGAAAAATATCAATTTCTTTTGACTGTTTCTTGCAGCCACCTGGAACATTCCGGCTAATATGACAGCCAATGTACTGTAAATCCATTTGTTGCCTCACTGTAGTGTATAAACCACACTGGCTGGTGTGTCCATATGGCTTTACTGGCACTTAAGGTGAGCAGGGTTTACTATATAGATTAATGGATTTGAGTGTGACAGGTTTAAGGCTGTGTTGGTTGTGTTCAACTCCAGACCATATATATACACATGGTCTATACAGTATATGTGTAAAAACGATTGTGAAAAAGAGAAAAAAAAAGCTTAAGAGGTTATTACTTTGTTTGGCCACAGTTCTCTGGGGGAGGCAAGAAAATTGCTTTCCTTGTTCTTTTCCCGTTCTCACCCTGCAGCACACCGATAACCGTTACATGGTTTTCCATTAGATTAAATTTTATGATTACACAGACAAGGGCAGAGCAGGTTACTGTGAAGCTGTGTTTTTAATGCCCCAGTGCCTAATGGAGTGACACATCACTCTAAACGTAGGCCAAAAACACAATCCCAAAACCCAACACATTGTTTTTATAAAAGTCCACTACAAATAAAATAAATAGCATCTAAACAAAAGCTTTTGACTAAATATATTGTAATATTATGGTCATTTATGCCATCTCCTAATGCTAGGGAAACCAAATACAAAGGTTTATTTAACAGCACCTCAGTGTATATTTATTTGTTTTCCAGTCACATTCAGTTTAACAATCTGCTTGAAAGGAAATAAATAATCCAAAAATAATAATAGAATAAATCAAACAAACAAACAGATTCAGTCAGGGAAGTGCAGAGCTGTTACATGTACTACTGGCATAAGAACAATACTTGTGGGGATAAATAAGGGGCGGGGGTGAGCAGTGCACAGACATGAGAACAGAAAGCACAAACTACTGTGAAACAATCTACCAGTGTGATCTGACATTTCTTCACTCACATTCTAATGACCCTCAACGGCTGAACCAACTATAGGCAACTTACAAAAACCCACTTACTCTTAAGGTATTTACCACATACTCCTGAGTCCTATTTATTAGGTAGCTGCAGTTTTCATCCTATTACAACATTCTCTTGACACAAATCTCATATAACAGTTGTATGTTCAACACAACATATGTTAATAATAATATTGTTAATATTGATAAATAACTACATAATAGGGCATTCAAGTATCTGTTAGTACATATTTGTTTAGATTTCATTTTATTTAAATAACATCTCCTTAGCTTTTTGGACATTTGATGTGCTTCAGTTCTTTCATCAAACATACAACGGCAACTATTTAACACTGGATTTTTCATTGAACACAAAGACAGTCAAAGGAAACAGTGCTGATGAACCCAGAGTAAAGGTGAACAAACATGACTGGAGATAAGAGGATTGCAGCTAAGACACAGCAGACCCAGGTGGGATTACTGAATCTGCCTCCTGTGGATTATCATCTCAAAGTTTCTCCAACCAACGACAATGGTCTCAAGATAATCACTACAAAGATGTCTTGTCCAGATGTCTGTTCTTGCTGACGTCCTCTTTGCTCTTTTGGATGCAGGTGAAAATCTCCTTAAAGAGAGCCTTGTACTCTGGCTGCTGACTACCGTCTTCCAGAGCCAGCATCATGTCAGAGAGCCCGGCGGAGCTGGACAGGCGACGGCAAGTGCGGACGCCGGGAAAAGGACTGTGGGATGATGTCTGCACTGATTTATGGAGTCCATCTGTGGTGTGACGGCATCTCTGCAGCAACTCGTCATATTTTACCTACGAAATAAACACAAACGAACACCGTCAAGCCTCGGAAAGCCTTATGTCCTGCTTGACTCCACATGGCCTAAATATTAAAGAATATATCTCAAATTTCTGGCTTATAAAAATTTAGGAACTCAATAATTGTTTTTTGTGATAAAATAAGAAACTAAAAGAAACTAATTTAAAGCTGGACGAACCATTAAACCTTTTTCAATAAAGTTAACTTAAATAACACAGTGTTACGAACTCATCACCTTCAGTGCGCTGTACTGTGCGTCCACCTCATTGAGCAGAGAGATTCCCCTCTGTTTCACCGCCTCCGTTCTTCGAATGCACAGCTGCTCGTGTCCAAGGCGAAGATCATCCGGGCTCGCAGCTTTCACCACACTGTCACTGTTACACCTCTGTCGCCTGTATCCTCTCTGCTCCTTATCTCTGTCCTCCTCCTCCTCCTCCTCCGTGTCGTTCTGCACCAGGCCAGACTTCTCCTGTGAGGCAAAGTACACTTGGTCCGGCAGCAGCAGGTGGTCCGGGATTCTGACACTGGTGGCGATATCACACATCTGATTATGCAGTAAACCTTGTACGGCTAAATTAAATAAAAGTTATCAAAACAGGAATTAAGGTCATTTTAATTTGAAGAGAGTCTGGTAATGAATTCAGTCCTGACCTCTTGGCACACTCGGAGCGCCACAGGAGCCGCAGCTGTTCCACTTCAGCCTCCAGCTCTTTCTGCCTGGTACTGCAGCCTGACAGCGCTGTCAGCTGCTGCTCCAGGGCCACGTTCTCCTTCAGGGTCAACTCTCTCTCCCGCTCTGCTGCCTCCCTGCGACTCCGCTCTGCAGCTATTTGTGCCTGAAGGGTCTGGATGGAGCGCTGCAGAGCCACGTTCTCCTCCTCCGGGTTAAGGCATCTGTCTCTGTGATGGAAGGATCCCTGAGGTGACCTGAGACTGTTCAGGTGAAGGCCGTTATGATCGAGGTGTCTGAGTCAGACCAGGTGGATGAGATGACACAACACAATATGTGACATCAGTTCAATAAAAAAACAAAACAAATATTACATCAACCTTCTGTATGGTCACTGTACAGGCTTCTTCATTAAGTATACCTTGTATTTGCTTGTTAATGAACATATCTGACTAACCAATGACATGTTGTCGACTTAGTGCATTAGGCCATGTAGAAATGATTAAAATGTCCTCTTAAGTTAAAACATACCTGTCCTGGTATAAGTCATACAGCTCTTTGAGACAGGACACGCTCTGTGCTCCCAGACTGCGTCTCTGCTCTGACAGCTCTCTTTTGTTTCTCTCCGCCTGAGCAGCCTTGAGCTCCTCCACCTGAATCTGCATCTCCTCCATGTGGGTCTGAAGGCCCTCTATGGTCTCTGTCAGACTGTGTGTTAAAAGACATGGAAAAGCAATAAGATATAAGACCCAGTTCTGCTCCTACTTTGTGACAACCCCTATCCTGTAATCCTTACATGGCAGTGATGGTTTAACAAGTCAAACACTTCAGAATTGAGCCCACCTGTGGATTTTCTGCTGGGACACACGGTTGTCCTGCACTAGACTCCTGTTACTGTGCTCCAGATCCCTGGCAGCCATGTCTAACTGTTCATAAACCTTGGCATGTTGGTCGTTCATGTGGCGCAGCAGGTCCACCTGCTTGGTCAGGTACTAGTGCACAGGAGACGGAAAGAGCAAAGGTTTAGTTTTATCAGGTTCCACACCTTAATCACATAAAAGAAAAAACTCTGACAGACTAGTTCTTGTCAACATTTCACACTGATTTAAACTACAAATTAAGTGTTATTTATTGCAGACTAGATTTATGACCTAGTATTGGCCCAGGGACCGTGGGTTGGGAACTTCTGCTGTAGACTGATTGTGCCTCAGAAAGAAATTTGAAGTTGAAGTTTTGTCAGTGTCATTCACCTGGTAACACCACAGCAGTATCATGATTAATACAGTTGTCAGATCAGCCACAGCTACATGCCTGTAGCAGAAGTAAATCAGTTCTGACAGATTACTTAGAGAAGGTGATTAGTGAAGGGGGTAAAACCAGCAGAGGACATGGTGAGAATGAAGGTCAGGCAGATGTAGGGAATTAACATATCTGGCTCACTAAATCCAACAGCTGCTCAACTTCTCACTGATGCAAACACATTTTGTTTTTTTCGTCTATTGCTTATTTCAAAAATAACTTCCTGTCTTTTCCTCCACTCTGTTACTTTGTTTTTAGCCTGCTTCCTTCTTTCACACCTGTCATTTCTTAGCATCTCCACTGTAATCAATGTTTCCTCTAACTTTTGTCCCTACTTCCTGTCGCTATTTCCTCTTCCTAATTCCTCTCAACGTCATCTTATTCCTTGTCTCCTCATGTAGAAATTTCCTACAATAACAGGTTTAGGTTTAATACTGTGTTCACTCCATATGATTTGATGTGATCTTGTTGATCCTGTTCCCTGGTCTGTTTAACGTCACGGGTGCTTTTATTTTGGAAATACATTTGTCATTTGAGCTCCTGTTTTATGTTTGTTGCATCTGGGTCTACGCCCTGAGATCACCTCTGACAGCGCGGGAGGTTAATGAATATTTTGTTTGGTGGCTCATGTCCTTCTCAAACATTCATCACCTCTATCTCCTGCAGCTGCTCCTGGTTGGTGGAGTACATCTGCTGCAGGGCCTGCTCCAGCTCATGGTTCCTGGCTAGAAGGGTTTTCCCCAGCTCTGCTGCCAGATGAAGATCTGTGGAAGCATCAGAGGGGGAACGAAATGTAAACATTTAGAGCCCAAACACTGGCCGCTGAGAAGTAGGAGGGTGTAATTTATGCATAAACAGAGTTCCAGTAATGCAGTTCTTATACACACAAACACACAACCTATTGTCTGGCACTGCTCACACACTTGGCACTGGGGAATCAATGAGGAATTCAAGGCATGGGAAGTCTTAGGGTCTACATGTGACCCTTTCCCCTGTTTTTTTTTTCTCCTTTTAATTCCTAGATCTTATCCCTTTGCAGTGGAGTGTGTTCAGTGAAGTTATGATAATCAGTACAATTCGCAATAATAAAAAAGGATAAAAAGTAAAATAGCAAACTTTTAAACTATTTTTTTTTTACATAAACTCGTACTTAATACCAACATAAATGTGGATGTGGTTCTCTTCTTCTTTGAGAGTGTTCCTGCTGCAAGGAAAAAAAGATTATCAGAGAAACCAGAACATGTTCACATTCGAGAGGCTTTTATTTCACAAATGTTGTTTGTACTTTCTAGGAATGACTATTATTAAACAAAGTGGTTAATGAATTAGATTAATTAGCTCAGCTGACTTATTGTTGCTGCTCCACTGTCAAAGGTCTTTGGTGTTTCTGTTTATCTGAACAAACCATTGAGGAAATCATTATAGATAAGCTAACATATTTTTTGTGTTTTTCAATTAAAAGAAAATAAATAACATCTTAAAATAATAAATAATTTATAATTATTGCGGAATAATGATCAAATACGTGAAAAGGAATGTCTAACATTCTTCACATGCGGTGTGAATAATGAACAATGATCCGTTATTTTACGGGAAGATGACATCAACTGATTTCCTGTCAACAATATGTAAACATTTGTAATTATTAAAGAATAAGAGCGA